GCGAGCAGCAGTGCTACTCCGAGCTCTTCGGGCGCTGCGCCGGCGCCGCAGGCGGGGGGCCCTCGGAGGCCTCCAGGGCCGCCCCCAGCGTGGCCACCGCTGCCGCCGGCCCGGTGGCCGACCTGTTCCGGGCGTCGCAGCTGCCCGCCGAGACGCTGCACCAGGTGGGTATGCTCCTCCTGCCACGGCGGCTCTTTGAGAAGCGGGGGACGGGCGCGGGGACCGGGGGACCCCGGAGGCCTTGTTCGGGCGCCCGCGAGGGGGCTTCACCTCCGAGGAGGGCGGCGACGCTCCGGCCCCCCGGGGGCCACCGTCTGCCTCCGCCGATCTGCGCTGCGGGGTGAGCGCACGGCTCCTCCCTGGAGATGACCTGACACGCCTTCCCCCTCCCTCCCCCCACTCCCGACCCTTCTGGGGCGCCGGGGTCGGCCGGACGCAAAGTTTGCCCTGTTCTGGAAGAGGTGTTTGTTTTGGCTGGTTCTGGTTCCACCTCTCCTGGCCACCGGCGCCCCTCCTTCTGGGTGGATGGGAAGGGTGGGCATTCGAGTCACCTCGCAGGGATGTGAGCTGGAAGGGCGCGTGCTGCAGGGCCGGCGGCCCGGGCTGTAGGTTGTCCCCTCTTTGCTGGTGACACATTCATTCTGCCCACCTGCCTGCCTCCCCCCACCCGTGCATCCCTTCCGGAGATTACTTTTCATCTGGAAAACCTCGCTGGCAGGTGCAGAACCAGGGGCGCGGGGCTCTTCAGTGCCATCCAAGGGTGTCAAGCCAAAGCCAAGCTTTCTACTGGGGGCTGTTGGTGGACGCGAGACGTCCAGCGTGGGGGACAGTTGTACTTTCCATCCTATTACTTGGACTTGGACTAGAATTGGAAAGTGACTGGTGTCCTGCTCACCTCCTTTTGGCTGCTGCATATTTGGAAGAGGATGAGGGGGTGGGATGCTCCTCAGCAGATGCTGCTGTTTTGTGCTTTCTTTGCATCTCGGAGAAAGACTGCCTGATCTCTGTTGATGTCACCAGCCTGCACGGTGAGAATATTCTTAATATCAGACCCAAAATGTGAAATGAGGTCCTCCCCCCACCTCTCATTTAACTGTTCTTTGCTTTTTCACTGAGGTGATGTTGGTTTACAACACTGTACATGGTTGAGGGGAATGGTTTGCACCATCCCCACCATCCAAGCACCCACAGTTCTTTTGACATGAAGCTTTTCTTAAAAGCGATAGTCAGTAGGAAAGTTACTATCACCAAGGGAATATTTAGAGTGGCGAGTGGTATTTTAAAATCTAGTTCCAAAGGAACACAGAGGGTTTTATGGTTCACTTATAATATCATTGTGCCGGTAGGTTATTTTTTTCATTGCTTAAGACTGCCTTTTAGACTGAGGGAACATGCATATGTCTAGAGCGCGCTATAATCTTTCACCTTTTAGAATTTGGGATTTCTGAAAAGATAATTAGTACATAACAGGGATCCTGGCTCGTTGTCCCTTGAAAAGTCCTTGACAGTTCTGCCACTGCTGTTGAGCTGGGCCAGAGAAAATGGTCAGTGTCTGAAAACAGACCATGGCTAGTACAGGCAGTGTTCAGAATAGTGTAGTAAACTTACTAAACTTGTAACTTTGCAGCTGAAAAGGAAATAATCAGTGATGGAGGCCACACAGCAAGTAAGGGACACTTGGGTACCTGTTCAGGCGTATTTTGTGGAGTGTGAGAAAAGAAAGGGGGCATATTAAATCTGACATGTTGGTTTACTGCTCACAAGGAACTGGAGAGGGGGCTCTCCAGGATTAGAACCCCTGCTCCCTTGGGGTAAAAATGATTGAAATAAACCAACCCAAAAGAGGCAGTACCTTTGCATGAATGAGATTAACTTCTTGATGTCTAATTGAAACCTGCTTGCAAAAAATTGCTGCAAAAGCAGGCAAAAGGGGACATCCCTAGAAGATTCATTGTAGTAAATCTTTAAGCTCCCTTATTCAGTCTAGCAAAGCAAACGACATCTTTACCCTTTAATCTAACAAAATTGCAGTAATCCACTATTCTTCGGGCAGGTAAAAATTAACATCAAAGGCATCTTGGGCAGGGAAATGTAATCATAAGAGATTCAAACAAATCAGCAGCAAAAGTCACCTAATTTTTACCACCTTGCCAGTATGGGGGAGGCTTGGGTAGAGGATGGTGTGTTCAAAAGCACTGTGCTCCCTTTACCTGGAGTTGCAGTCCTCCAGGAGTGTCTTAGGCATTCTTTAAAACAAATGCAAATTTTTTAGCCTTTTTCCCTGTTAAAAAGGAACCTGTAAGTTCAGAATTAAGTGGCCCAACAGGTAAAACTGCTCAGCTCAAGGAGGTGCAAACTGGGCCTGGTGGTTTCTATGGTAACTAACAGCCAGGTTTCCTCCTAACAAGCATATAATTAAGATGACCATAATGTTCCAAGAAGGTCAGAAATCTTACCTGGAGTAAATGGTCTGCAAAAATAGTTAATTTTGTCCCTTGGTGTAAAAATAAACCATTGCACTGGTTACTTTGTTATGGAAGTGTGAGCTGTCTTAGGGATTTTTTTTTTGATGAAATATATTTGTATGTTTTTTTTTTTTTAAATTTAAAGCAACCAATTATTATTCCAACTGGAATTTTTTTTCTTTTTTAAAGATTTATTTATTTGTGCATACAAAACTGGGGTGCAGGCCAGAGGCTCAGGGGCTGGCGAGAGGCTTCACCAGAGACAGAGTGGGCAGTAGAACAGGCAGATGGATGAAGTACACTGCTGAGGGGAGCAGCGGGCGGGTCAGGAGAGGTCTGCAGCTCCATATGGTCACCTCCGGGGCAGGCGGGAATCGAACTCATGTGGAAGTGGCTTTAGCTTCTTAGTGCTGTGCTTTAATGCGCTGTGCCACCAGGGAGGGCCCCTGTATGTTCTTATTTTAAAAAATAGATTTATTTTTGTCAGTCATTTTAGGTTCACAGCATACTTGAGGGGAAGTTACACAGCGTTCCTATATATCCTCAGCTCTGCACATGCACTTTATCCAGGTCTTCCTCCAGAGTGATAGATTTCTTAAATTTGATGAACTGATGGTAACAGCATAATCACCCAAGGTCCATAGCTTGCCTAGGGTTCACCCTTGGAGTTGTACATCCTGTGGGTTGGACAAACGTTTATTGACATGCACCCATCATTATATTATAATGATTTCCACTTCAAATCCCTGTGTTCCACCTACTCATGCCTTCCTCCCTTCCTCTCCCCACTCCCCCTTCCAGTCACTGATCTTTTCATGTCTCCAGTCTCCCGAATAGCGCCCTTTTTAGAATGTCCTGTGGTTGGAATCATGCAGTGTGTAGCATTTCCAGATTGGTGTCTTTCACTTAGCAATTCAAGATTCCTACATTTTGTAGCTTGATGGCTTGCTTCTTTTTAGTGCTGAGTACTACTCTTCTGACTGGATGCTCAAAGTTCCAGAAAACAACAGAACATCTTGGTTGCTTTCAGATTTTTGACAATTATGGCTGAAGTTGCAATAAACATCCACATGCACCTAAATTTTCAACTCCTAAGGTCAATATAATACCAAGGAGTATGATTTCTGGATCTTATGGTGAGCATATATTTAGTAAGCCTATTTGTTTTTTAAAATATTTATTTTAAAAAATTTATTATTTTTAATAATGGCAACTTTTAGATTTATTTATTTATTTTTTATGCATAGAAGAACTGGGCTGTAGGCCAGAGGTGTGTGTTTTAGGGGAGGGGAGGTTTAGATGACTCAACAGAGTAGGGAGCAGAACAGGCAGATTTATTGAAATACACAGCTGAGGGGAGCAGCAGGGAGACAGGAGTGTTCTGCTGTGCCATATGTGGGTTATTTAATAAGCTTAATAAAAAACTGCCAAACTCTCTTCCATGGTGGCTGTACCTTTTGTACTCTCCCTCCCCCCCACCCCCCCAAGAATTCCTGTTGCTCCATGCTTTCATCAGCATTGTCAGTGTTTTGGATTTTGCCCATTCTAACAGGTAGGTACTTGTATCTTATTTTAATTTGCATTTTCCTGATGACATATGATGTTGAGAATCTTTCCAAATGCTCATATGCCATCTTGAATTTTACTTTAATGCATCATAATCACCTACTTTAAAGGCTATTTGGTCTCTATAGAATATCTTAATGTCTTGATTTATTTTAAAAGCAGGATTCAAGGACCTTCCTGGTGGCACATGGGTTAAAGCACAGCACAGCACTAGGAAACTGGCTGCAGCCACTTCAGCACAAGTTTGACCCCCAGCCCGGGAGCTGACCCACATGCCGTAGCAGACCTCTCCTGACTGCATGCTTCGCCCCTCAGCAGTGTACTTTGTCAATCTGCCTGTTCTGCTCCCCACTCTGTCTCTGGTGAATCCTCGCACTGCCCCTTCACCTCTGGCTTGTACCCAAGTTCTGTATGCATAAATCAATTAAAACAAATAAAAGCAGGATTCAAATATTTGGTGAAGAGTAGAAAATAGGAAAAGTAGAAAAATATGAATGCTTAAGAAATGGGTAAATAGTTTTTGTTTAATACTTCAAGACAGTGGGGACTCTCTCATGGCACAGGGGTTAAAGACATTGCTATTATCACCAGCCACTGCAGCACAAGTTTAGTCCCTGGCTGGCCAGGGAGGTAACCCACATGGCGCAGCAGGCCTGTCTCGCCACTGCTCCCCTCAGCAATATATGTCAGTAGATCTGCCTGTTCTGCTCCCTACTCTCTCTGGTGAATTCATGTATGTATAAATAAATCTTTTTTTAAACAAACTTCAAAACAGTGAACTACCAACTTTGGTGTGATTGGTTTCCCAGGTTTGTGAATGTCTCATTGTTATTCAAAGGCCAGCAGTTTACTAGAAGGCATTAGGTGTGGTGGGAAAGTGGTGGGCATCAGGTGTGGGGTTGACCGTACAGTATTCCAGTGTGCTGAAGGCAGGTAGTGTCCTAGTCGCCCAGGTTACAACAAACAAAAAACAAACAAACCCCAAAACCAAATATAAATCCCTGCCCTTGGGATTTCCATACCTATGTAAATTTTTTTTTTAGAGTTTAAGTCAGATTTGAAATATAATATCAAGGAATAAAACACCAACTTTAAATTGGCAGGTTTTCTATTTGATGTCATGGTTTAACAAA